AGAAGTGTTATAAGAAAAACAGAGTATATGGGGCAGTAAAAGAAAGGTGAAGAGGTGGTGAGAGAGTGCAAAAGGGAGGCAGATGATAGAGTGGGAGAGGCACTGTCAAGAAATTTTTAAAGAAAATAAGAAAAAATTTTGGAGTGAGTTAAACAAGTTAAGAAAGCCTAGGGAAGTATGGATTTGTCAGTTAAAAACAGAGTAGGGGAGTTAGTAGATGGGGGAGAGGGAGTTATTAGGTAGGGTGGCGAGGGAAAATTTTGAGGAACTTTTAAAATGTTGAGGAAGAAAGGGGGGTTTGGGAATTTCATGCACTGGTCAGGGAGATATTTCCATCGTTTAGGAGTGAAGAAGAGCAGAATTTAAGTGTGGGGGGGTACGTGAGGCATTACGTAGAATGAAAAGGGGAAAGCAGCTGGAACTGATGGGATCATGAAAAGAAATGTTAAAGCAAGGGGGGATATAGTGTTGGAGTGGTTGGTGCTTTTGTTTTAAAAAATGTATGAAAGAGGGGAAGGTTATAGGGATTGGCGGAAAGCATGTATAGTCCTTTATATAAAGGGAAGGGGACAAAAGAGATTGTAAAAATTATAGAGGAATAAGTTTACTGAGTAACCAGGAAAAGTGTATGGTAGGGTTATAATTGAAAGAAAATTGAGGTAAGATAGAATGTAGGATTGCGGATGAGCAAGGAGGTTTCGAGTGGGTAGGGGATGTGTAGATCAAGTGTTTACATTGAAGCATATAGGTAAACAGTATTTAGATTTAAAAGGAAGGGAAGTTTTTATTGCATTTATGGATTTAGAAAAGGATATGATAGAGTGGATAGAGGAGCAATGTGGCAGATGTTTTCAAGTTATGGAATAGGTGATAAGTTACTAAATGCTGTAAAGAGTTTTTTATGAGGATAGTGAGGCTCAGGTTAGGGTGTGTAGAAGAGGGGAGAATACTTCCGGTTAAAAGTAGGTCTTAGACAGGGATGTGTAATGTCACCATGGTTGTTTAATATATTTATAGATGGGGTTTAAAAGAAGTAAATGCTAGGGTGTTTGGGGAGAGGGGTGGGATTAAATTATGGGGAATCAAATTCAAAATGGGAATTAACACAGTTACTTTTTGCTGATGATACTGTGCTTATGGGAGATTCTAAAGAAAAATTGCAAAGGTTAGTGGATGAGTTTGGGAATGTGTGTAAAGGTAGAAAGTTGAAAGTGAACATAGAAAAGAGTAAGGTGATGAGGGTATCAAATGATTTAGATAAAGAAAAATTGGATATCAAATTGGGGAGGAGGAGTATGGAAGAAGTAAATGTTTTCAGATACTTGGGAGTTGACATGTCGGCGGATGGATTTATGAAGGATGAGGTTAATCATAGAATTGATGAGGGAAAAAAGGTGAGTGGTGCATTGAGGTATATGTGGAGTCAAAAAACGTTATCTATGGAGGCAAAGAAGGGAATGTATGAAAGTATAGTAGTACCAACACTCTTATATGGGTGTGAAGCTTGGGTGGTAAATGCAGCAGCGAGGAGACGGTTGGAGGCAGTGGAGATGTCCTGTGTAAGGGCAATGTGTGGTGTAAATATTATGCAGAAAATTCGGAGTTTGGAAATTAGGAAAAGGTGTGGAGTTAATAAAAGTATTAGTCAGAGGGCAGAAGAGGGGTTGTTGAGGTGGTTTGGTCATTTAGAGAGAATGGATCAAAGTAGAATGACATGGAAAGCATATAAATCTATAGGGGAAGGAAGGCAAGGTAGGGGTCGTCCTCGAAAGGGTTGGAGAGAGGGGGTAAAGGAGGTTTTGTGGGCTAGGGGCTTGGACTTCCAGCAAGCGTGCGTGAGCGTGTTAGATAGGAGTGAATGGAGACGAATGGTACTTGGGACCTGACGATCTGTTGGAGTGTGAGCAGGGTAATATTTAGTGAAGGGATTCAGGGAAACCGGTTATTTTCATATAGTCGGACTTGAGTCCTGGAAATGGGAAGTACAATGCCTGCACTTTAAGGAGGGGTTTGGGATATTGGCAGTTTGGAGGGATATGTTGTGTATCTTTATACGTATATGCTTCTAAACTGTTGTATTCTGAGCACCTCTGCAAAAACAGTGATTATGTGTGAGTGTGGTGAAAGTGTTTAATGGTGATGAAAGCATTTTCTTTTTGGGGATTTTCTTTCTTTTTTGGGTCACCCTGCCTCGGTGGGAGACGGCCAACTTGTTGAAAAAAAAAAAAAAAAATGTATGTGTAGTGTGACCTAAGTGTAAGTAGAAGCATCAAGACATACCTGTAATTTTGCATATTTATGAGACAGACAGACAAGACACCAGCAATCCTACCATCATGTAAAACAATTACAGGCTTTCGTTTTACATTCACTTGGCAGAACGGTAGTACCTCCCTGAGTGGTTGCTGTCTACCAACCTACTACTATTGAAAGGAAGAACAACTCTGAATGACATGGAGAGCGCATAAATCTGTAACGGAAGGAAGCGGGGTAGGGGTCGTCCTCGAAAATGTTGGAGGGAGGGGGTAAAGGTGGTTTTGTGGGCGAGGGGCTTGAACTTCCAGCAAGCATTCATGAGCATGTTAGATAGAAGTGAATGGAGATGAATAGTATTTGGGACCTGCCGAGCTGATGGAGTGTGAGCAGGGTAATATTTAGTGAAGGGATTCAGGGAAACCGGTTATTTTCATATAGTCGGACTTGAGTCCTGGAAATGGGAAGTACAATGCCTGCACTTTAAAGGAGGGGTTTGGGATATTGTCAGTTTGGAGGGATATGTTGTGTATCTTTATACATATATGCTTCTAAACTGTTGTATTCTGAGCACCTCTGCAAAAACAGTGATTATGTGTGAGTGAGGTGAAAGTGTTGAATGATGATGAAAGTATTTTCTTTTTGGGGGTTTTCTTTCTTTTTGGGTCATCCTGCCTCGGTGGGAGATGGCCGACTTGTTTAAAAAAAACATTTTAAATTTTCCTCAGTTACTAGAAGTTAAAAGGTGATATATTCCAGCAAGCATGCGTGAGCGCATTTGATAGGAGTGAATGGAGACAAATGGTTTTTAATACTTGACATGCTGTTGGAGTGTGAGCAAAGTAACATTTATGAAGGGATTCAGGGAAACCAGCAGGCCGAACTCGAGTCCTGGAGATGGGAAGTACAGTGTCTGCACTCTGGAGGAGGGGTATTAATGTTGCAGTTTTATAACTGTAGTGTAAAGCACCCCTCTGGCAAGACAGTGACGGAGTGAATGATGATGAAATTTTTTCTTTTTCGGGCCACCCTGCCTTGGTGGGAATCAACCGGTGTTAAAAAAAAAAAAAAAATTACATCTACAAGATATTGTATAAAGGATTTAGATGTAACTAGATGAGTGCAAGTGCCAGGGTAAAATGAACAGTAGTTAAAAAAATGTTTTTAACCCTTTGAGGGTCCGTGCTGTAGATCTACGGCTATACGTTGAGGGTCCAAACCGTAGATCTACGCCATGAGCTCAGCTCACTCTGATAAGCTGTGAGCTGTAAATTTGGGCCTAGATATGAGACAATACATCTATGTAGTATGTGTGCACCACATAAAACAAATCCTACAGCACACAGTGCATAATGAGAGAAGAAAACTGAGACCATAATTTTCGATTAAAACAGCGACTGTGCAGTGTTTTTTCGTATGTTTTTTATAGTTGTATTTGCGATTTCTTGGTCTCATTTGATAGAATGGAAGATATATTACAGAAGTAGAGATGATTTTGATTGGTTTTAGCACTGGAAATGGCTTGAAACTGAGCTCAAAGTAACGGAAATGTTAAATTTTTGTCGATGTTCAAGAGTAAACAAACAACCTCCATGTCTAATACATGCCAGCTGGTGGGTCTAATATACATTCACAAATGTGGTGATGATATTTATACAATTATTACAATATTGCATAACAGTAAATCTTCTATTTTTTGGTTTGAATAAAAATTCATTATGTGAATAAAAAATCAAAATGGAAGTCATTTGTAAAGCCTCAAAACGTAACTAATGAACAGAGGAAATGTTAGTTTAGTGCCAGGAATGTCTGCAATGTTTATTCTGGACCCTATTTTGAAATTGGAATACAATATTTTGAACTTCGTGTTAAATTGGCCAAATTACCAATTTCTGATCACTTTATTTTGTAGTTGAAACAATTGACTGGGCGATTTATTGTGCTCAATCGATAGAATAGAAGTAATTCTAGTGAAACAGCAAAGAATTTGGTTGACTGGAATAATGTAATTGGCCTAAAATGGAAGTCAAAGTCGGCAAAATTGCAGATTCGTAAACATCGCTGACACATCAAAATTCGCGAGAGCATAATTTCGTCAATTTTTCCATCAAATTTCGTACTTTTTGTTTTATTACCTTCAGAAAAAGATTCTCTACCATTTCATAAGAAAAAATAACAAATTTTTTTTTTTACTATTCTTGGACCCTGGTGTGCACTTTGAAATTTGGCCTCTGGACCCTGAAAGGGTTAATCAACTCACAATACCTAAATGTTTAACTGATCATTTTACATCAGCCACTTCTTAAGGCAGGGTGATCCAAAGAAAGAAACACAGTCACCATCACTCATTCAATAGCTATCTTGCAAGAAGTGTGCAGAGATCTTGACTTAAATGACCCTTGATCTAAAAGTTTCCCCATTTATCACATATTGAAATTAAGAAATTAGGAAAAAAAAAGCAGGAAATTTTACAATTTAAATTTTAGTACAGGGAAAGAAGTCCCATTACCTCTCATTGATAACAAATACGTACATGCATCTCTCACCAACCAATATTATTAATCTTTCATATAATAAATCATCATCATCTTTCAATAAACCAGCCGTATCCCACCAAGGCAGGGTGGCATGCGACTAGCATGCTAGTCGCCTCTTACAACACGTATGGGTTTCGGAGGAAGAATATATAATAAATATCATTGTTTAAAATTGATCGTAAATAGTGTTGTACACCTAAAAAATCTCACCTGCAACAGTAGAAAAAGTCTTTGTATTTGACAAGGAATATTTTTGGAAGCTTCTTCCTCAGAACCTTTAAACTCCCACTGATAAATTGCATTACGGAACTCCGGGGTCATGTAGAGTGTCTGCAGGAGACTGTTGAGGTAACAAGTCATGGCTTGGTTCACCAGACCCACATAACCTGAAGTATGTAGAAATGTTACTAATAACTGCACAAAGGGAGAGGCAATTAATCAACCCACAATACCTAAAAAAATTAAGAGATTAAAATCAGCCACTTCCTAAGGCAGGGTGGTCCAAAGAACTGCCCAAATAAATATAATAAAATAAACTCTTTAAAATAAAACAGTTCTGTGGGTACAGCCAATCATCCCTCTGACATCTTCTGCATCTTGTAGGAGACCAAAGGCAGTACCTTGTGTATCTTACAAGCTACCAAAGAGGTTATGCTTGAAAAATCACAATGATACTGTAGTACAGCAATTAATTAGCCTACCCTTTTGTTTTAATACTTGGCAAGGCCAATGTAATAAATTTACATTGGTTTTTCCATGTCATACATTCACCTGGGGTTTAGCACTGAATTACCTCTAGTCCACATTCAACTTTTCCCTACCTTTACTACCAAATGTGTGGAGTTGAATGTTCTTGCATGCATTAAGCTTGTAGACAAGGTGTGAAAAACCTTTGGAATGCTAGATGACTTGAAGGAATGCTGCACTATATAATTTGGATGTAAATGTGTAAATAAAGATTAGTTTACTTGAGTTTCCCATTAGTACCACCTGTCAGTCAATCTAAAAATAGTTAACTGTAATTATGATGTTAACATTCACCCTATCTGATATCCTGTGTTCACAAAGATGCTATTTTACGATAAAATGAATATATTATAGTGGGAATGGAAGTGAAAAATGACATGAACCATAGAATAGATGAAGGGAAAACAAAGGCAGTAGTGTGTAAGGCATCTGTAGAGATGATGAACATTACATGTGGAGAAAAGGAGAAATGTACGGAGAGTATAGCACATAATACCAACACCATTACAGTGAACCCTTGACTTATGATATTGATCCGTTCCAGAGAGCTCATCGTTAGACGAAATTATCGTTAGTTGAATTAATTTTCCCCATAAGAAATAATGGAAATCCAATTAATCTGTTCCAAACCCCTGAAAGTATGAAATTTTTTTTTTTACCACATGAAATATACATTTTCCTACACACAAAAAGGATACATGTACAATATATATTGTGTACGTACTGTACTAAATGAAGAATAAATGACACTTACCTTTATTGAAGATGTAGTGATGAGTGATGGGATGGGAGGAAGGGAGATAATGTTTATTATTCTTTGGAAGGGGAATCCCCTTCCATAAAGACTTTAGGTAGCAAGTCCTTTTCCAGGGTTACTTCTCTGATATCTGTTTATCGTTTATCCACACCAATAACAGTCTCTCAACATCTTCGAGTACTTGCGATCTGTGTTTCGAAGAGATACTTGCACTTTTTGCAACAACAACTTCCTTGATTGCCTTTTTGTTGGCCAAGATAATAGTGATGGCTGATTGGGGTTTGTTGTACAACCTGGCCAGCTCGGAGTCGCGCACTCCACTTTCATACTTTGTTATCTCTTTCATTTCGATTATAATTTTCACCCTTTTTACCACAGGGTTGGCACTAGAAGCTTTCTTTGGGCCCATGGCGGCTTATTTAGCAGTTACAAGCACTAAAAACACTGGAATAATACAAAATGTACTGAATGTATGCGTGGAAGCGACCACACTGGCCTGTAAACTTTGGCACACTAACTGAAGGCAGGGCAGCTGAGGCGCGCTCAGGCCAGAGGGACACGTGGACCCTTTCTGGACTAATGACATAAGTCAAGTTTTTGTTCGTAGGTTGTGGGAAATTTTTTACGCTGAAACGCTTCGTAAGTCAATTTTATCATTAGACGAGGCCTTCATAAGTCGAGGGTCCACTGTATATGGATATGAAACAGACTATAAACACCATAGCGAGGAGAAGACTGGAGGTAGTAGAGATGTTACATTTCAGAGCAAGACATGGTGTGAATATTATGCAGAGAATTCATAGCATGGAGAATAGATGACTGTGCAGGGTTACCAAAATTATAATTCAGAGGGCTGAGGAGGAGTTGAGGTGGTTTCATAATTTAGAAAGGATGGAGCAGACAGGATAACTAATGTATATAATTCCGAGGTGGAAGGAGGAGGGTCTGAACCTTGATTCAACTATGGTCTGCGACTGCTGTATTCAACACTATCATATCCAGGACCAGGTCCTCATTATTCATGAATATGAAGTCTAGGGTATTTTGTAATATGGCTGCTTCTGCTGTCTTCTGGTTTAACCCTTTGGCTGTCGCAAGCCCCTTTCTGAAACTGTCATTCTTTGTCGCAAAAGTTTTGGAAAAAAAAACTTTTTCTTTATGAAATGATAGAGAATCTTTTCCCGTTGGTAATAACACCAAAAGTATGAAATTTGGTCGAAAACTCACGGAATTACGCTCCCGCGAAGTTAACGGTCTCGGCGACATATACGAATCAGCAATTTTGCCGACTTTGAGCCCTGTTTTTGGCCAATTCCGTTGTTCCAGTTGACCAAACTCATAGCTATTTCTTTAGAATTCCATTTTTCCTATCAGTTGAGTACAAGAAACTGCCCATTTACCGATTTGAACTACCCAATAAAGTGGTCAGAAATTGGCAATTTGGCCAATTTCATGCAAATTAAAAAAGATGCCAATTTCAAAACAGGGTCCAGAATAAACAATGTAGACATTCTTGGCACTAAAATAACATATCCTCTGGTTATTAGTTATGTCTCTAGGCCCCTCTTATATTACTATTGCTTTCTATTTTGATTTTTTATTCATACAAAAAAATTACAAAATTTACTGTTATGCAGACTAATGCATTATTGTAAAAATGGTATAAATAATATCAGTGAACTAGTGAAAGAATATCAGACTCCCAGTTGACGTGTATTGGACGTGTGGTGTAATTTGCTTACTCCTGAACATTGGTAAAAATCGAACATTTCTGCTACTTTGAGCTCAATTTCAAGGTTGTTTTCATCGTGAAAGTAATGAAAATCATCTCTATTTCTGTAATATGTTTTCCATTTTATCACCTGAGACCCTGAAAACGAGAATACAACAATAAATACTATATGAAAATACACCTCAAATTCGGCGTTTTAATTAATAAATAAATAAATAAAAAAAAGGTCAGTTTTTTTTTATCATTATGCACTGTGTGCTGCAGGATTTTTTTTATGTGGTGCACACTGACCACACAGACCCATTCTCTCGCATGTGGGCCTACCAGTTTTCTCCTGCTTGATTTGAAGCCGCTAGAATTTATGCGTATAAATACGTCAGAAACAGTGGCGCTTAAGACATATATATACGATGTAAACAGTCAAAGGGTTAAAAAAGGTTGTGTGTGCAATGAATGCACAATTTTTCGTACCTTCATACAAAGTCAAATAATGTGACTTACACGTTTCAATAAGTCTTACACCTTGAAACAATTGTAATACATATTATAGAATTTTGTTATAGATTGGAAGACACACAGGTGCTATGTACACAACTGCTTATGTAACTCAGTATATTCCCTCGAACTTAAATATATACATGAACTATAAACAATTAACCTAGGATAACATTATACCTTGAAACAACTATTACAGGTATTCCTTGTACATAATATTAGAAGACCAAAATATTAAAAAAAATAGTGTATATTCCAAGTGGAATATACACTGTATACATAGTGTAAACAGACCAGGAAAAGTGTGCGGTAGGGTTATTATTGAAAGAATTAGAGGTAAGACAGAATGTAGAATTGCGGATGAGCAAGGAGGTTTTAGAGTGGGTAGGGGATGTGTAGATCAAGTGTTTACATTGAAGCATATATGTGAGCAGTATTTAGATAAGGGTAGGGAAGTTTTTATTGCACTTATGAATTTAGAAAAGGCATATGATAGAGTGGATAGGGAAGCAATGTGGCAGATGTTGCAAGTATATGGAATAGGTGTTAAGTTACTAAATGCTGTAAAGAGTTTTTATGAGGATAGTGAGGCTCAGGTTAGGGTGTGTAGAAGAGAGGGAGACTACTTCCCGGTAAAAGTAGGTTTTAGACAGGGATGTGTAATGTCACCATGGTTGTTAATATATTTATAGATGGGGTTGTAAGAGAAGTAAATGCTAAGGTGTTCGGGAGAGGGGTGGGATTAAATTATGGGAAATTAAATACAAAACGGGAAGTGACACAGTTACTTTTTGCTGATGATACTGTGCTTATGGGAGATTCTAAAGAAAAATTGCAAAGGTTAGTGGATGAATTTGGGAGTGTGTGTAAAGGTAGAAAGTTGAAAGTGAACATAGAAAAGAGTAAGGTGATGAGAGTATCAAATGATTTTGATAAAGAAAAATTGAATATCAAATTGGGGAGGAGTATGGAAGAAGTGAATGTTTTCAGATATTTGGGAGTTGACGTGTCAGCGGATGGATTTATGAAGGATGAGGTTAATCATAGAAATGATGAAGGAAAAAAGTTGAGTGGTGCATTGAGGTATATGTGGAGACAAAAAATGTTATCTATGGAGGCAAAGAAGGGAATGTATGAAAGTATAGTAGTACCAACACTCTTATATGGGTATGAAGCTTGGGTTGTAAATGCTGCAGCGAGGAGGCAAGGAGGCAGTGGAGATGTCCTGTCTAAGGGCAATGTGTGATGTAAATATTATGCAGAAAATTCAGAGTGTGGAAATTAGAAGGTGTGGAGTTAATAAAAGTATTAGTCAGAGGGCTGAAGAGGGTTTGTCGAGGTGGTTCGGTCATTTAGAGAGAATGGATCGAAGTAGAATGACATGGAGAGCGTATAAATCTGTAGGGGAAGGAAGGCGGGGTAGGGGTTATCCTCGAAAAGGTTGGAGGGTGGGGGTAAAAGAGGTGTTGTGGGCAAGGGGTTTGGACTTCCAGCAAGCGTGCATGAGTGTGTTAGATAGGAATGAATGGAGACAAATGGTATTTGGGACCTGATGAGCTGTTGGAGGGTGAGCAGGGTAATATTTAGTGAAGGGATTCAGGGAAACCGGTTATTTTATATAACCGGACTCGAGTCCTGGAAATGGGAAGTACAATGCCTGCACTCTAAAGGAGCGGTTTGGGATATTGGCAGTTTGGAGGGATATACTGTGTATTTTTTATACGTATTACTACTAAACTGTTGTATTCTGGGCACCTCTGGAAAAACAGTGATTATGTGCCAGTGAGGTGAAAGTGTTGAATGATGATGAACGTATTTTCTTTTTGGGGATTTTCTTTCTTTTTGGGTCACCCTGCCTCGGTGGGAGACGGCAGACTTGTTGAAAAAAAAAAAATCTAGCGGCTTCAAATCAAGCAGGAGAAAGCTGGTAGGCCCACATGTGAGAGAATGGGTCTGTTTGGTCAGTATGCACCACATAAAAAATCCTGCAGCACGCAGTGTAGTGAGAAAAAAAACAAACTTTTTTTTGGATTAAAAAGCCGACTTTGATGTGCATTTTCGTATAGTATTTATTGCTGCATTCTCATTTTCATGGTCTAACGTGATAAAATGGAAAACATTGTAGAAATAGAGATGATTTTGATTAGTTTCACGATGAAAACGACCTTGAAATTGAGCTCAAAGTAGCGGAAATGTTCGATTTTTACCAATGCTCAAGAGTAAGCAAATCACACCACACGTCCAATACATGTCAACTGGGGAGTCTAATATTCTTTTACTAGTGCACTGATATTATATATACTATTTTTACAATAAAGCAGTAGTCTGCATAACAGTAAATTTTCTATTTTTTTGTATGAATAAATAATCAAAATAGAAAGCAATAGTAATATAAGAGGGGCCTAGAGATTTGACTAATGAACAGAGGATATGTTATTTTAGTGCCAAGAATGTCTACATTGTTTATTCTGGACCCTATTTTGAAATTGGCATCTTTTCTAATTTGCATGAAATTGGCCAAATTGCCAATTTCTGACCTCTTTACTGGGTAGTTGAAATCGGTAAATGGGTGGTTTCCTGTACTCAATTGATAGAAAAATGGAGTCCTAAAGAAATAGCTATGAGTTTGGTCAACTGGAACAACGGAATTGGCCAAAAACAGGGCTCAAAGTTGACGAAATTGCTGATGCGTATATGTCGCCGAGACCGCTAACATCACGGGAGCGTAATTCCGTGAGTTTTCGACCAAATTTCATACTTTTGGTGTCATTATCATCGGGAAGAGATTCTCTATTATTTCATAAGAAAAAATAACTTTTTTTTTTTTCCAAAAATTTTGGGACATAGAATGACAGTTTCAGAAAGGGGCTTGCGACAGTCAAAGGGTTAAATCTACCCCTTACCTCTTTGATCTCCTCATTATCTGTACTCTAACCCTTCTTTCTCTCAACAATTGCTTACATCTTATCTCATGTAATTTATTCACTTTCACCTCACTTACTACTAATATCTGTTGCCCCTGCTTAAAACATGCACATCCAGAAGTCAACTCATCATCCTTCTATGTACCAAGACATAATCTAGCAAACTGCCATCATTACACCTTATATTGTATCTTGTGCATTTGTTTATCTTCCTTTTCTGAAAATATATAAAAGTGATTGTTGCTTTACTATCGACTATTAAAATACAATTGTTTAATGTTCATACCTCTGAACTTGTACAAAAAATAAAGCATTAACAAAATACAGTTGAATCCCGAATATCAGCCGATTTGTATTTAGGTTGGTTTTTGGGCAGAAAATTTTCTCTGTATTTCGGCTTGTGCCTCGTAAATTGTCTGTATTATACACTTCAACCCGCCTCCCGTCGCGCATAGGTGAGTCAGTCTCCCTGTGTCTCTTGGTGAATGAGCATATACCCCGAGTATTCATCCAAACATTTCCATAAAATCCACTGGTTTTTGTGTTTGTTTATCAAGTGGGACTGTGAAATAAGCCACCATGGGCCCAGAGAAAGTTCAGAGTGCCAGCCCTTTGGTAAAGAAAGTGAGAAACACAATGGAATTTAAGAAAGAAGTTATTGAAAAATATGAGAGGGGTGTTCAAGTGCTAGAACTTGCCAGGATGTATGGGAAATCCAAATCAACAATCACTTCCATCCTGGCAAAGCAAGTAGAAATCAAGGAAGCTAATGTTGTGAAAGGGAGTTTAGCAGGGAGGCAGGGAGTGTAGCAGGGAAACAGGGAGTGTGGCTGGAAGGCAGGGAGTGTAGCAGGCAGGCAGAGAGTGTAGCATGGAGGGAGGGAGTGTAACAGGGAGTGTAGCAGGGAAACGGAGTGTGGAAGGGAGGCAGGGAGTGTAGCAGGTAGGGAGGGAGGTAACCCCAGAGAGGGACTAGTTACCTGAAGTAATTACAGAGGGGGATTCCCCTTCCAAACAATAACCCCAACTCCCTCTGCCCTCCTCTCCTTCTTCCATGTGCCAGCAAGAGTCTTCAATAAAGATATGTGATGTTTATATATATTATTTTTTAACAAGTTGGCCCTCCCACTGGGGCAGGGTGACCCAAAAAGAAAGAAAATCCCCAAAAAGAAAATACTTTCATCATCATTCAACACTTTCACCTCACTCATAAATTATCACTGTTTTTGCAGAGGTGCCCAGAACACAACAGTTTAGAAGCATATACGTATAAAGATACACAATATATCCCTCCAGACTGCCAATATCCCAAACCCCTCCTTTAAAGTCCAGGCATTGTACTTCCCATTTCCAGTACTCAAGCCTGGCTATATAAAAATAACTGGTTTCCCTGAATCCCTTCACTAAATATTACCCTGCTCACACTCCAACAGCTCGTCAGGTCCCAAATACCATTCGTTTCCATTCACTCCTATCTGATACGCTCTTGCATTTGTCAATGTAAAACTATAGTTAAACTTCACAAAATGTAATTTTTTTTTTATTTTTGGTGTCTGGAACGGATTAATTGTATTTACATTAATTCTTATGGGACATATTGCTTTGAATTTAAGCCGACCTTCTGGAGCGAATTACGGCTGATATTTAGGGTTCCACTGTAACAGTTATAAATAATGCCAATCTATGAGTACAGTGCAACTGGAACAGCTCTTTACACAACTAGCCTTATCAAACCATCATCGCACATATAATGTATGTAGAGTTTTTGAACACCAGCTGGAGTCATTTCACACAAATATATTTAAGTAAATATCCAACATTACTTTTCATTTTACATATTGTAACCCATGCAGAGCTTACATTCTCCACTTCTACTTGCAATAATGTCCTGGACACAAACTTTCAACCCAATAGTGAAATATGGCATATGGTATCCATAGATTTTTAAGAACATCTGATCGGAACATACAATACTGATAAAATTAGTTTAAGACCATTATGTGCACCTCTATTCTGAAACTTTCCATATTCTAGGTTATTCCCAAGAAGAAACCCCAAAGTTCATATTTTACTGTTTTTGCTATATTTTGGCATACTCATTCTGAAATCCTTTATTCAAAGTTAAGCAACTGTTTCTACCAGACCACATATATTGCACCATCAAGCCAGCAACAGCTTTCAAGACCAGTCTGCCATGTTTGGGTAGAGAGAGCGAGAGCGAGAGGAGGGAGGAAGTAGAGCAAAGGGAGAGAGAAGGGAAAATAAAGGTTAGGCAGCGAGAGGAAGAAGAGTTGGATAAGAACACAGGTAAGCACTTACATTAAACATCAATGATAAATTATGAAAGGTGAAGAGCAATAAAATGCACATACTTTACCAGTGATATGCCTGTGACCAGTTTCTAGAGTTTTTCTACCCTCGCAGCCTGGTCTGGGGCCAGACTCTTTCTTTTGATTGTCTGTACAACCAGGTTGCCGCTGTTGGCTGCCTGCTGGCCCACACAGCATAATTATAGGCATACATTAATAAACAGTACTTCTCATTTACATTGGGAATAAGCTATTTATGAATATGGATCTCCACCATATTGAAATAGGGCTCTAAAAGTTATGCTAGTTTCAAGCTAAAATGTACATAGATTCTAGAGATAGCACCAATAACTTTTCATATTTTTTTATTAAAAATAAAAACTATTGATTAGACCAGAGTGAAATTGTATATTCAAGAAAATAAAACATACTGATATGCTCATAATATTATATATTTCAGAATAAGTGGTTAGTAACTTTTACATGTTAATGTAGCATGAACTATATGACATAATAAAAGATTATGGACAATGGACATGTACTTGATTATGTACACAAGTTATACAATAAATACTTTTCTATAATGGCTCAATTAAAGAAATATATTCTTAAAAAAGACCTTAAAGAATAGCTACAGTTGGAATAATTTCTTAGTAAACAGGTAACTGAAAAATGTAGTTTTTAGCAAATATAAATTACCTGTTTCATGTTTAATCAATGCAGAAGAGTAAGAATACTCTGGAGTGTTGTCATAATTACTACTTCGGTCAAACCACTTTCTCTCTGTAGTATTAGCTGTGGGAGATGCTGAGGCCCCAAGGCTAAGATCATCCTCATCTGTTCGTCGTGGAGGATTACCACCAAGATCACAGAGAATGAGACTGTTCCGTGGTGTACCTTTAACTTGAAACCGAGCGTGGGACAATGTACGTTCCGGTTCCATTTTGTCTACTTCTACCTGTATATTAAGATAGATTTCAGTTTTTAAGTGGTCCAGTATATATTAACTTTAGTCACAGGGGTTCATCACTGGGATACATCATTGAGGTTAATGTCATGTATTTCCATGACACTAGACCTGTGAGTAAAGCCTAGTCACTCGCAAGGCAGCTCAATCAAGATATGTGAAGATGATTATGATGGAGAAAGGGGTACAAAGTTTTCACAGGTGCTAAAGCAGTTCTCTGGAAACATCCAAGTGGGAAAAATATGAAGGATGGACTATGTTCAAGAGTTGCTTTTGAGTTATTAAAAGAAAGTGAGGAAACAGGGTACATTTGTGATAAGCCTCACTTGAGCACTGTTGTCTTTAGAATTAAAAGACCAGTAACTATAAAACTAAACTGTGGTGACAATTTCTGATGATTAATATACATGGTATTTACTTTCTCATGGTTCCCTTAAAAAGCACTTGTAATTTCACCTTCCCTTGTCCTACCATATGAAAGAAAAACTTTTATATACCCATCCTCCATGGGCACAAAGTTGCAAACTATTTAAGTGATGCTCACAATCTGAAGCATAAAGATAAAAAAATAAGTTCAGAGGCAATATCAGAGACAGCTTTAACACAATTTACAGTGAGCATACACAATATAATGATGTACAGCATTTTTTTTTAAATATTAAGTTGTATAACTAAAATTTTTCTTTTTCTTTTAAATTTAAAAGCAACGAATATTCAACAATGGAGACAGCAGGTCTACTTACAATGAAGGAAGGTTTGATTTTTGTATTTTTACAATGTACAGAACTGCAGTAAATACTGCAAGGCTGGTAAACAAAATACAATCAGCTCTCTTATAGAGCTCCTCTACTGGGTACTTTCTTTTGTAAATGAGATTGAAAAAGTGCATACAAAATTGAATAACACACGGAAAGGCATTTCAGTTTTTTATGTCATTTATGTACAAAAAAATCACACTATGTAGAGCTTTATAAGAGACATGACTGTGTAAACCATCAATGCTGATAAAATAGTTAACATTTTCCATGTTAATGTGAGCTACATTACTTTACAACACACTTTAGCAGACTGACATGAGAATAGTCTTGATTAATTATTATAGTGGATCTGATGATTTACTAAATTAATTTCATAAAAATTAAAAACTTTTTAAGTAACATGACTAAAGTTATATACCAAACAATTAAGTATTTTCTTACCTGATCCCCATCAGAGCACTGTAGAACCAGTGAAAAGGAGTCAGGTTCATATTTGAAACGTCGGCCAACCTCCTGCATCAATTCACCACATGTTGATGTAGTCGAGGTAACTAACGTCACCTTATTTACAGTTGATGTTAGACTACTCATATCACGTACAATTACAAACATGCTCACATTGTCCAGTTCAGGTTCCAACAGAGAATCAGCATCAACAAATTTTGGTTTTTCATTATTAGTGGTGGTCAAATTAGATTCTTCATCCAAACTAGAAATATCATTCACTACTTCCTTTTTCGTATCACAATTTTCAATTGCTGTGTCCGAATCTATGTTATTTTTTACATCTTTCACTGCAACTAAATCATCAACCTTGACACTATCTAATGTCACAGAATATTCAGTGGCTTCTACAGTGGTTGTCACTTCTGGAGTGTCTTCAGCACTTGAAGAGTCTCCACTTTTCACAGAATTGACAACTTTTGTAGATTTTTTAGGTTTTGTTGATTTTATTTTCATTGAACTCACAATTTCATCTGAGGTAGTTGCTTTTGTGGTAACTGTATCATTGACGGAGTCTTTCTTTGTAGCCGCTTTTGCTTTAATAAAGTTATTTGATTCAATTAATTCTTTTGATTTAACCAAATCACTTTTTTCAATGGGAAATTCTAATGCTGATGAATCGTTTGTTCCAACTGAGACTTCAGCTTTAACAGTATCATTTTCTTTAACTGTGTCTTCAGATTTTACCGTATCACCTTTTTCACCCAAGTCTGTTGACTTTACAGAATCTCTTCCTTCAACAGAGTCTTTAGACTGTGATGCATGATATAATTTATTTGATTCTTCAGATTTGACAGAATCAAGTTTTTCAATTTTGGTTTTAGATCTAACTGAAATAGTTTTATCCACTTTTCCTTTGGAAATGACCGAATTATTTGATTTTGCAGAGTCTCTATACTTAACTGAATCATTTGTTTTTGTGGAAACTTTTGTTTTGACTACAACGTTAGTTTTAATACTTTCTTTGGCTTTAACTGGACCATTTGTTTCAGTCAAGTCCTTTGGCCTGACTGAATCACTAGATTTAAACTGGTCATTACATGTGATAGAATCAAGTGATTCAACTGGCTCTTCAGACATGGCTAACTTAGTTTCAAGAAGCTCTGCTGACTGACAACTATCCTCTGTTTTAACTGAGCTATTAGTTACAGCTAAGACATTAATTTTACACACGTCATTAACGTTAGTCTTGCTACAAGTTTGTATTTCGCCACCATCTTTTCTTTCCTGCGAATGATTCACTTCTAGTGAATCTTCATTTTGGACAGAAAGCTCAGACACAGCACATTCTTTACATTCATTGACATCTTTTATCTCACTGGAGTTTTCACTCTTGTTTGTTTCTTTAGTTTTGCTCGATTCTTCTTCTCTTTCTGGTGGCATCGATGTAGTTGATTCCAAACTTGCCTCTGATGGCTCCTGGTTCTTGACAGGCCTAATTATTTTCTTTGGGACACTGGGGATTTTCTTCGAAGTGATATCACTGCTCTTTTTAATTGGTATTTTCCTGGGTGAATCTCCTACTAGAGTGAGTGGTTCTTCAGCCCTATTGTTGAGATCGGAGATTGCATTAGCTATTAGGGAGCTTGTCGTCTTTTTCTTGACAACTTTTATTGTTTTGACTTTTGTAGTGCGAATTAACTTGCTGGTGGTAGTCTTGGTAGAAGTCTCGGTGCCAGTGTCGCTGACAGTGGTGGTTTGGGAGGCTTGAGTATCGACTTTGACCTGCAAGTTGGCTGTAACCTCTTGTTTTTCTTCTATACTTATTCCATCACTTCCACCTTCACCCCCACCACCTCCACCTCCGTCTCCCCCACCACCACCATCTACACTATCAGCCTGCTGAAAGAAATTGTTTTGTAATTAAATTATGGTAAATTGCCTGTCAAAGGCATACAAACTCACATTTTTCAAATTACTGTACAGGTAATGTAATTTATTTTGCCATTTATAGATCAAATGTTACCGTGTACAGCGTCTTTAAAATCATGGACAGAATATTAAAACTTAAGTAAAGATTATTTCAATTATCACCTCAATACAACATTTACAGCAAAGTTACAAGAAAAAAATTTATCAGAATCTAGAAATTCTGCCCCAAAAAGTTTTGTTAAAGACAACTAGAGCCACTGATGTGCAGCCCATGGCTATTTCCCAAACAATTCTGTTAGGGTTATTTAAAGTAAATAAAGAATAAATAACTATGTAAATACATCAAATTAATGCCAGGAGACTACCAGCAGCTGCACCATTAAAAACTGTCCTAATTGTTTACTGGATTCACTTGCTGCACACAGTGAAAAATGTCAAATTAAAAACAACTTGTGTATAATATAAATATTTCAATACCTGTGAAAAACACAAACAATGCATAATTTAATATTCAAGGAGTAGTTTCCATCAAAATTTGTCACACCTATTGAAAAAAAAAAAAAAAATAGATATAATAAATAGGTAGCAGGTTGGCTGACAGTTACCACCCAGGGAGGTACTACAGTCCTGCCAAATAAGTGCAAAACAGAAACCTGTAATTGTTTTACACAATGGTAAGATTGCTAGTGTCTTCTTTGTCCTTTAAACACGCAAGATAACAGGTACAACTTGTTACTCTTGCTTACACTTAGGTCACAAAACACATGAATGTACACATATATGTATACACTGATGTTAGGAAGTATTTCTTCAGTCACAGAGTAGTCAGGAAGTGGAATAGCCTAGCAAGTGAGGTAGTCGAGGCAGGAACCATACATAGCTTTAAGATGAGGTATGACAAAGCTCTTGGAGCAGGGAGAGAGAGGACCTAGTAGCACTCAGTGAAGAAGCAGGGCCAGGAGCCGAGTCTCGACCCCTGCAACCACAATTAGTTAGGTACAACCATCTGTGTTTTCTTTATTTTCTTTCCCCTTTCACTGGCCCCTCACACTGAACTAGAGCTTTGAGCTCAGGGGCCCCCATTATGTAGTTCTATGTTACAAGCTCAGCTCACTCATAAGCTGAAAGACTTGGTCTGTGTTATGAATGTGCAACCTATAAAATCAATCCTGCCCCATGCAATGCATGATGGGAAAACAAAATTGTGACCATGTGTATGGTTTAAATTAAGAAACTCTGCAGTTTTCTCTCATATGGTTTTTATGGAAGACGTATCACCAAAATAGATTTGTTTCAGGAATGGAAGTAGCTTGAAACTGAGCTCAAAGTAGTGGAAACATTCAATTTTTGCTTTATTCCAGAGGACAGGTAAGGCTCCCAACAACCCCAAGTTTGTTTTATGGGTTTTCAATAGGCCTGATTCAATTATTGGGATGCTTTACACCATGACCAATCTTTCTTGGCTATATTTTATCTGAGGAACAGAGTAAATCTTCTACTTTTTGTGTGGATAAGAATTCAAAATGAAAAGCAAATGTAATATAGGAGGGGCTGGGGGACATGACTAATGAACAGAGGAAATGTTTTAGTCCTAGGAATATCTACAGTTTATTATGGACTATTTTTAAATTGGCATTTTTTCAATTTTGTTTGAATTTGGCCAAATTACCAAATTCTGATCACTTTATAGAGTAACTGAATGGGCAGTTTCTTGTAATCAGTCAATAGAATGGAAGACATACTAACAAAATAGCTAAGAATTTAGTTAACTGGAACAATGGAATTGGCCTAAAATAGAATTTAAAGCGAGTGAAATCACTGGTGGGTAAATTGCATCCAGATCGCTAACTTTGTGCTAGAGTAATTCTGTAAGTCTTCTATCAAATTTTGTACTTTAAGTGCCATTACCTTCCAAAAAAAAGATTCTCCATCATTCCATGATTTTTTTTTTTTTTTTTTGACACTGAGAACAGTTTCAGATCAGGAGGTCTGGACAGTGAAAGGGTTAACAGTTCTTGTTCTTATTTTTTTGTTTTCATCTCTATCAAGAAGTGGAAAACAATCTTTCCTCTGCAAGCCATGCATGTCATAAAAAGGGATAGTAACCCCTTCCCCTGTATAAATTACTAAAAATAATTAGAAAGACTTTATAAAGCTCTTATGTTTGAGAGTGTGTGGATTAGTGGAGATAAGAATGAGATGTATGTGAATGTTATGAATTACAAGAAAATGGATGTCCTAACTCTAAGCAAAACAAAGCTGAAGGGGATATGAGAGTTTCAGTATGGAGAAATAAATGGGATTATGTCAGGTGTACCAGAGAGAGAGTTAGAACTAAGAAAGGAGCAGAAATAATGTTGAATAATCAGTTATGACAGGATAACAAGAAATATAAGTGTATAAATTCAAGGATTATGTGGATTAAAATAAGGGATGGAAGCAAAAAGTAGGTTATACTAAGTGTTCATTCATTGACAGTAGGGGTTGCAAGATTCTGTACGAGGCACAAGTACGCTCACACCTTGAGTATGTTCCACTTTCTTGGTTTGCCTGCCCCCCTTCTCATCTGCGACTGCTTGACAGAGTAGAGAACAGAGCAAGACGTCTCATCTCTCGCCTGGACCCATCCTGGATAGATCTGTCATGTCAGCAGAGCCTTCAACATACGAGGGATGTGGGTGGCCTTACTGTTATGTACAAGGCCAATATTGTCAAAGTACCACACTTGGATCCACTTCGAGGACAGCGTGAAACAAGCTTTCATGCCACAAGACGGGCAGAAAGCAGCAACTTCACTCTGGCTGTACTCTTCTCCAGAACATCACTCCATCTGAGATCATATATACCCAGGATGACTAGAGTATGGAACACATTCGTACAGCATAATGATGTCAATGAGATAAAGTCAGTTGATCACATGAAAATGCTGGCCCACAGATGGCTCCAACTTCATCCTGTTCCCTACTTGTATGTCTCATAACAACAAAAATGCTTTCAAATGAGCTGATGTAGGTAATAGCTCTTAGCTTGCCAATAAAGTTAGGAATCCTTAACCTGTAAATAGCTTGTCAATAAAGCTAGGGATCCTTAACCTTGTCAAACCCTGTGTAAAAAAAAAGAGAGAGAATGAGAGAATGAGAGATAATGAGAGAGAATGAGAGAGAATAAGAGAATGAGAGAAAGAGAGAATGAGAATCCCATGCATATGCAGACGACTGTACACTGACATTCACTTATCCAAGAGAAGAAATGCCAGCTGCTCTAAGCTACATCAATCACCAGCTAAGAGCTATATCAGCTTGGGGAAATATATGGCAAGTAACATTTGCACTTGAGAAAACACAAATGATGATGGTCTCTAGGCACCATGATGGTAATGCCGATGCAGTAGTAAGGATGAATGGGTGGGTGTTGGCACCTGGTGAAGAAGTTGATATCCTTGGGGTGAAATTCGACTCCAAACTGACCATGAAGAACCACGTTGTAAATCTTGCAAACAAGGCAGCCAGGAAACTTACAGCACTTCGGCGTATCTCACACCTGCTTGACAGTAGGGGTTGCAAGATTCTGTACGAAGCACAAGTATGCTCGCACCTTGAGTATGCTCCACTTTCTTGGTTTGCCTGCCCCCCCTCTCATCTGCAACTGCTTGACAGAGTAGAGAACAGAGCAAGACATCTCATCTCTCGCCTGGACCAATCCTGAATAGATCTGTCATTTCAGCAGAGCCGTCAACACAGGAGGGATGTGGGTGGCCTAACTGTTATGTACAAGGCCAATATTGTCAAAGTACCACATTTGGATCCACTTCAAGGACAGCGTGAACCAAACTTCTATACCACAAGACGGGCAGAAAGCGGCAACTTCACTCTGGCTGTACCTTTCTCCAGAACATCACTTCATCTGAGATCATTTATCCCCAGGATGACTCGAGTCTGGAACACATTCGTACAGCATTATGATGTCAACGAGATAAAGTTAGTTGATCAGATGAAAATGTTGGTCCACAGATGGCTCCAACTTCATCCTGTTCCCTACATGTATGTCTAATGACAATAAAAATGCTTTCAAATAAGTTGATGTAGTTAACAGCTCTTAGCATGTCAATAAAGTTAGGAATCGTTAACCTGTAAATAGCTTGTCAATAAAGCAAGGGATCCTTAACCTAACCTTGTCAATCCCTGTGTTAAAAAAAGAGAAAGATAGAGATGTATAGATAGATAGATAGAGATAGAGATTTTGGGAGATGTTAAGCAGGTGTTTAGGGAGTTTTGAACCAAGTGAGAGAGTAATTGTGGTGGGGGACCTAAATGCTAAAATAGGAGAAACTTTTGTAGATGGCACAGTAGGTAAGTTGTGGATGCCAGGGGTAAATGATAATGGGGGCTATGATTGAACTTTGAGTAGAAAGAAGTTTGGTAATGGGTAATGGTGTGAATTTTAACCCTTTGACTGTCGCGGCCGTACATATACGCCTTACGAGGTACCGTGTTTGATGTATATATACTCATAAATTCTAGCGGCTTCAAATCAAGAAGGAGAAAGCTGGTAGGCCCACTTGTGAGTGAATGGGTCTGTGTGGTTAGTGTGCACCACATAAAAAAAATCCTGGAGCATGCAGTGCATAATGAGAAAAAAAAACTCCGACTGTTTTTTTTAATTAAAATGCTGACTTTGTGGTCTCTTTTTGTATAGTATTTATGGTTGTATTCTCGTTTTGTTGGTCTTGTTTGATAGAATGGAAAAAATATTATAGAAAAAGAGATGATTTTGATTGATTTTACTATAAAAAGAACCTGGAAATGGAGCTCATAGCAGGGGAAATGCTTGATTTTTGCCGATGTTCAAAAGTAAACAAATGACATCATTGTCCAATAAATGTCCAACTAGCCATTCTAATATGCAGTCATGAATTGGTTCATGTTATTTATACAATTATTACAGTATTGCAGTAGTCTGCATAATAGTAA